TAAGAGATGGATAGTTTTTAGTTATCAATACGTTTCCTCCGAAATACCCGATTTGAGAGGTTTAGAATGGGAGGAAGTGGGAGATTTTGGAAGCCTTCTACTTTCCTCCCCTTCCCCCTATTTCCTTCAACCAAACACACACAAATCTCTCACTTCCCTCTCCTCCCCTCCGAAACTCTCCAACCAAACAGGGCCTTAGTTTCCAAACAAGTACTTCATATAACTGCTTTTACTCCTTTCAATACTTATTTGTTCACCGCACTACGTACTGCCATTACTTAGGTTACTTTCATTGTCTTATTCAAATTAAAATTGTTTTAGATACTTTTACAATCACGTTCACACATGTGAGATTCCATCGGTAATAAAAGGGGCAAATAAGCCCTCGAACTTACCGAAAAAGTGCGAATAAGCCCTTTTATAGGATGCTTTGTCCGGCCGTCGCCATTTGAGGCGGTTCCCAGTGGAATATTTTGATGATTTTTTTTTAGCATCTTCTTCATTAAGTCTAGTTTACTCATACCAAATTTCAGCTAAAAGTTCAACTGGAAAGGCAGTCAAATAAATGTTTGAAGATAAATGAGCAGTTAAACAGTGCATTATAATTCAGAAAATCATTTGGTTGCCTTCCTGGTTAAATTTTTAGCTAAAATTTGGTATGGGTAAACTATACTTGGTGAAGAAGATGCTCAAAAAAATTCATAAAAAACTCTACCTGGAACCGCCCCAAATGGCGACGACCGGACAGAGCTTCCTATAAAAGGGCTTATTTGCACTTTTTCGGTTAGTTCGAGGGCTTATTTGCACCTTTTCCCATTAATCAATTAGATTAATAATTCGAGTATATCTGGAGGTTGAATCTTCGGGTTGGTTACTTTTAGCCAAAATGAGGCGCAGACAACGATAAGTAAAGAAAAGGATATGGTATTATGGGAAATTGATTGAAAGATTTGATATAAATAAATTAAATATTAAAGTACATCCCATATTTGGAAATGATGAAATTACATACTCCGTTGATAAGTTCCTATTTCAACACGCATTTGATGAGGGTTGAGATTGAGTTTTGTCACTTTTCCAAAATTTATTTGTGTCACAAAGCCTTTATTTAGCTCAAGTCACGGTTTACCGGATTTGGTTTGCATTTGTTGAAGAAAAGGAAGAATTCGGACCCAACATCGGCGTTTGAGCTTAAGTTGAGTAGATTCAGGAAGCGGTCGAAAGATAACAAGAGGCACCGGAGGTCCACGGGATGATTTAGAGGCATGATTTGAGGCTTGAAAGGTCAAAGGTTGAAGATAGGATCGATCGGGAGCAAACGAGGAAGAAAAGAGCAAGAAAACGGTTCAAGAGCCATCCACATGCCCCACGGGTCAGTACCGCACGCCCCGCGGGTGATTCTGAGAGCTAGAAGTAAAAAAGTCTTAACTGCACGCCCCGCGGTTCACAAACATATCTCAGGGGTACTCACACGGTTAGACCGTGTGGGCGGAACAAAAAAATTGGCGTGCGTTAGTCAACGCTGTCGACGGCGCCTCCCACGGACGATCACACGCCCTGCGACGACCCTGCGGGTTGATTTTTGCCCACTTTTGCCGTTTTTCTATAAACTCAGCCCTGTTTTGTCTGTTTTTCGTACCAGAACTTAGAGAGATAAACCCTAGGTCGATTTTTGAGAGCTTTTAAAGCCTTGGATTATCAAGATTTTGGGATTCTTTGTAAGTTCAATTTTTTTAATTGATGACAATTAATTCTTTCTTTCCCAATTCTATTGTTAATTGAATTATGAATTGTGAGTAGTTTTAATAAGAGATTTGGGAATGATGAAGGGGTTGATCATGATCCAGAGTTAATTTCTTGATTGTTTAATTGCATGAATGTTATTTATTTTATGTTTGAATGATTTAATTGATATATCTTGAAACCTAGATGTCTTTTTTTTAATAATCCGGAAGGCAAACCACCAAAACCGGTGGGGTAAATGCCCGGAAACATTTACCGAGTATTATTAAATGAGAGTAAAAGTACAGAGGGGGGGGGGGACCAGACCAAAAGCCCTCCAATGGAGGCATACCTCCTAAAGCAAATCACAAAAATAAAACAACAACAACCATTGAGGCGACTAGACCTGACCCAATGAAAAACATTAATAAATAAAACGAAATGATGGAATGCCAAACAAATCTGAAAAATAAGCTAGATGTCTGTGCATATACAACTAATGTTTGTCTATTTTTAGGTGGTGCAAAATGTAAGTAGTTCTATATACCCCTTAAATAATGAAGTTTTTTGTTGTTAATAAAAAGGATGACACCCCTGTTGGGTTTCGGGCAGAAAAACGCAGCGGAATAAACAAAAATTTTTCTACCCAAAAGTAAATGAACGGATCTGAGGTTCTTATTATAAACGAAATTACAAGAATTTAAGAGGGACTTACATAGCAATCTTAATCAAGGATGTCAGACAGTCCGAGAAAACGATCCCGAGCTCTACCGGTATCCACACGCACGTGACTGGATCGGCCGCAGGGAACGTGCTAGCGTTCTCTTCTTTCTTCCTCTCTACTCTAGGTTTGAGAAGTGAATTTTAACTCTTAAAATTCGTGGGTCTCCTTAGCCCTATTTATAAGAGGTGGAAAGAAGGGGTTTTATGGCTAATAAAACCCTTAAAGAGGCCCTAGCCCAATACCATTCGAAACCCTCTTTCGAATTGGGCTAATCAAGCTATTTTAATGTTATTAACAAACATTAATGATCCAAATCACTTATGTGTGTGACCTTGTAGGTTTATATATTATTGGCAGTGGGCTAGAAATTAATTCGAGCCTCACAAATCATAAGCGGTCTCTAGCAAGGCATTATGACTATCCAAAATATATAAATGTCAATTAAATCTGACATAACCTTTTAATGATTAATTTGTGCTAATAATTCTCTTTTGTCAAACGATATCTTAATTGAGACAAGGTTAGGTCGTGTCATCCTTGTTATTCTCAATTAATATTTCTTGATTACCAAGTAAGATTAATCTTGATCAAATGACACCTCATTTGAGCATGGCCATGCTAATTAATCTTACTTGTCAAGGGGCCCAATAAATATCTTTCTCTCGATTTACAAGAGTGACAAAAACTATCTTGATAATTCACATACTACTACATGGTTCATAATATGTACAATCACCACCTTTATAATTACCCATTTAAAGATAACATTTAATGGTGTTAATACATATTAATTCTCATGCTAGTAACCATGATTATCTCAAGTATAAGAATATAGCACCTCATCATTATTGAGGACAACACTGATGACATATAACCTAGCAGTGTCCTCAAGTTGGGTCTGTCCAATGAACTTGTTCCCTAACAAGCATCTATGTTATTAACTTGATATCTCTATACCCATGACTAGTGGAATATAGCCATCAGTTAATCCACATACTGGTCTATTAATTATTAATGTCCCAAATTAATAATATTAGACCAGGGACAATAAGAATATTATGTTTATTTTAAAGTGTAGCATTCCACAATTAAGTCACATACTTAATTAGCTACTAAACAGAATATTCAGGGACTAAATATTAATAAAGAAAACTCACAATAATAATTAACATAAAATGAGTTTGTGACTTTATTAATTAATGAGCATTAAATATTTATTGATAAATCATAAACTACGATTGTCCTAGGGCATATTTCCAACAACCCCATCCCTGAGGGCCCCCCAACACCGACCGGACAGCACGATGGGAGGATGTAAATTGGACTATAATCACAATCTGACAGATAGAGAGTGGGGCTCCGTCCCCGGTACTTGCAGAGGCCCTATGCATTTTTAGCATAGTAACCTCTCATCGTAGTTGCTGGGATTCGAACCCGGGACCTAACCCTTATGGCACTCCCTCGCTATCAATTGAGCTACGCCCACCGGTGTTTTTTGTTGTTAATGTGTTTAGGGAAAGGGGTGAAGCGAAATGCTGTGGAGGAGCACAATGAAAATGCATCTAAAACCAATATCGTTGAAACTACCACAGTAGTCACATTGAATGATGATATAGATTTGAATTTTCATTTGTTTTGAATTAATGTTGTGATTCACACATGCTATGACCCCCCATGTAACTATTTCAACTAATGTTGTGTTTCACACATGTTTTGACTTCCATTAATTATTTGAATTTATGTTGTGCTTCACACATGTTGTGACCTCCATGTGTTGTGCTTCACACAAATGTTGAATTAATTAACAATCTTAAATAACAATTTAGTCATTAAATATTAAAAATAATACATTTATAACATCACAATTATTAACACTAACCCCATTATGTTATATATCTATTAAAATTGTTTCTCAAAATATACTAGAATTATTTTATTTAATTATTGCCTAAATAGTCGTGCCGATTTGTCATGGAAACCTTTCAATGGGACAGAGGTAGTATCAAATATATCAATTGTAAGAAGTGTAAAAATTTCTATAAAAAACTTGACTTTCTATATCTGTTATGTATACTGATACAGAATGTCCTTTTATCTTTTAAATTGATATTTCATTGCATCATCACTTATCAAAATTTATAAACACGTGACTTAAGTCTAATGTTTCAGGCTTTCAGCTGACATCAAGAATAATAACAAATCTGGAAACCATAACCATTTCTCTGTCCCGTAGAGATCAAAGTACATAGTTGCTTGAGCAAAGTCAAAAGGCTCTGCGGCCCAACTAACACCCTTCGCGGCCCAACTAGCCGCCCGTGTCCCACTCTTGCTCCCTCTCCGATTGAGTCTTTTTTACTTTCAAATTGGCAAGGGTGCAGTCGATATTCTGAAAGTTCCGTGCTAACTTTCTCTTCCTTCTCTATTGCTAAACTCTAATATCCCCTGTTGTTAATAACAACTTGGACTTCCAAAATAACAAGATCAACGGCCAAATAAAATGAATGCTCCATTCATAACATACTGCCTATAACTAAACATCTAAGAGTTTCATTTCATCAACTGACGAATATAACATATCCAAATCGTATTTGCTAGGTACCTGTTAGACATAATATGGGCTTGTTAATATATTAATGTTTGTAATTAGCCTTATGTAAATTAGTGGGCCAAGGGCTTACATTTTAGAATCAGTAGCACTATAGCAGTATATATATGGCCATCGGCCAGATTGTAAAGGAGGCAGAAGAGTATCAAATGAATTAATCTTTTGATTCCCGAATTAATCTTTTGACTCTTGCCTTAATCCAATATGGTATCAGAGCGTTAGAAAGGAAGAGCAGCCGCATGAGGTCGACCGAGGAGGAGGAGCCGCAGCACCAGCGTGTTCCAGCGGCGTTCATCATGGCGGATCCAACCACGGTGCACTATCTAGACTCCGGCAATAATTGTCGCCGTACTGCTGCGGAGCCTGCGGATGCGGCTGCCGATAATAGTCGTGGCCTAGTCCTCACGCACGTCGCGCTCAAGGGGGGGGGGGGGGCAGAAAACTCATGTCGTAACCAAGGACCAGCTGCCTAGTACTCTTACACCTCTGCCGTCTTGGGCCGGTGAGCGTGCAAGTGCAGCGACTGATGCAAAAATAAATGGGCTTAACAAGCTAAACATTTCGTTAGACTGGATTATTGACACAGGGGCGTCTCACCACGTTACTGGTGATATTTCTTGCTTGACAGACCGCACACGTATAGAGACACGCAAGGTGGGGCTGCCGGATGGCCGCATGGTTGCTGCAATTTTTGAGGGCCGTGTGACACTCACTAAGAATCTTGTACTCGAGCGCGTTCTTTATGTGCCCGGATTGAACTGTCATCTTATTTCTGTATCTCAGTTGATTGACCAGTCTGCTTGTTTAATTACTTTCACTGACTCATTTTGTGCAATACAGGACCGTGACTCGAGGAACCTGATTGGAGCCGGTGAAAGACGAGATGGGCTCTACTTTTTCCGAGGGGTACCACTACTACATGCTATTCACACTCCGGCATTGACAGAGTTTGAGCTGTGGCACCGTCGTTTGGGTCATCCTTCGGATCGAGTTATTAAATTATTACTTGCTGTGCGTGCTAGTTCCTCTGAAAAACGCCTGAATAAAGCTTGTGAGGTATGTCCACAGGCCAAACAAGTTCGTGACTCTTTCCCCCTTAGTACCAATAAAGCAAGTAGAATTTTGGAATTAATTCATTGTGATCTGTGGGGTCCATATAAAACCCCTTTTACATGTGATGCTGTTTATTTTATGACTCTGGTTGATGATTATTCACGGGCTGTTTGGGTTTATTTATTGTGTGATAAAAAGGAAGTACACCGATTTTTCCTTTCCTTCATAGCTATGGTTGAAAAACAATTTGAGGTGCCTGTTAAGATCGTACGTAGTGATAATGGGACGGAATTCAAATGTTTGGTATCCTACTTTGAGCAACAGGGTATTATGTTTCAGACTTCATGTATTCACACGCCTCAACAAAACGGTAGGGTGGAGCGCAAGCACCGCCATATATTAAATGTTGCTCGAGCATTGATGTTTCAGGCTAATGTGCCTGTGTCTTTATGGGGTGAATGTGTGCTCACCGCCGTCCATCTCATTAACCGTACCCCTTCCGGGCTCTTGGGGGGCAAAACACCTTATGAAGTACTTCATGGAAAGGAACCGGACTTTCAGCACTTGCGAGTATTCGGGTGTTTGAGCTATGCTCATAATCTCAGAATCGGTGGTGATAAGTTTGCACCACGCAGTCGACGATGCGTTTTTGTCGGCTATCCTACTGGCAAGAAGGGATGGAAAATGTATGACTGTGGTAGTGGGGATATATTTGTTTCACGCGATGTACATTTTCATGAGGATATATTTCCATTTGAATCTTCCGCAACAGACAATACTAGCATGGAACCAGCCCATGAAGCCGTTTTGCCCGATGATCATGCTGACAAGGTGACCACAACAATACCCGTCGCTCATGATCCAGAACTACATACTCATATCACGGATCCTCCGAGCGATCCGCCTACCGATCCGGTACTTCCTACAGCAGATGTGGGTTCCGAGACTCCTCCTCTTGGTCGCGGTATGCGGTCTAAGAAGCCATCTGTCCTATCACGTGACTTTGTTACTCATCATGTTCGGGAACAGAGCCCATCTGCGTCGACACCCTCCGTCAGCTCCTCAGGTACGCGTTACCCTATTACTCATTATGTGTCATGTGATAAGTTTTCTTCTCGTCATCGTGCGTTTCTCGGAGCTATTCTTGCAAGTCATGAACCACGCTCTTTTAAGGAAGCTATGACGGACCCAGGCTGGCGCTTAGCTATGCAGACTGAAATTCAAGCTCTCGAGGACAATCACACTTGGGAAATGGAGCAGCTACCTCCTGATAAAAAGGCTCTCGGTTGTAAATGGGTCTACAAAATAAAATATAAATCTGATGGCACAATTGAACGCCTTAAAGCCCGTCTAGTTGTTTTCGGGAATCATCAAGAGGCCGGTATTGATTACATCGAAACTTTTGCTCCTGTAGCCAAGATGGTAACAGTACGGCTTCTTTTAGCTGTAGCCGCTGCTAAGAACTGGGAGTTACATCAAATGGATGTCCACAACGCTTTCCTTCATGGTGATTTGGCAGAGGAGGTGTATATGTATCCTCCACCTGGATTTTCTCCATCTCGACCGGGCCTTGTGTGTCGCCTTAAGAAATCCCTGTATGGTCTACGCTAGGCGCCGCGGTGTTGGTTCGCCAAGCTGGCTGCGTCACTCAGACATTATGGTTTCATCCTATTGGTCCCGTTTAAGTTGGTAACAGTCTAGAGGGGGGGGGGGGGGGGGTGAATATACTGTTATAATTTTTCAAACTTTTCTCTAAGTCAGAGTTGACTTATCAGAGAGGGTCGAGTTCTGATGATCAGAACTGGGTCTTGCAGCGGATAAGAGTTCCGGGTAGCCTCAAGCAGACACTAAGGCAGGTGCCCTTCTGATAACTCTGAGAACAAGATCTGCTGAACACAGAGTCCAAGTTCTTAGGGAGTTATGCAGTTAGGTTCTAAAGTACATAGAGTAAATGTGTAAAGTAAATGACACCAGTGTTTTTATAGTGGTTCAAGGAACAACGCGTTCCTCTAGTCCACTGTTCCACTAAGCTTTGAAGAAAACAGTTACAAAGCTTTAGCCCTAGCACTTAAGAAGTTCTCCACATCTTCTTCAAGCCTAGATGTCACCCGGGATGCAGTCCTGCTTCCTGATGACTGGTCCTTTCACTCAGCTTCCCGGAAGTATCACCACTTCGCTACTGCAGTTACTTGGACGCCCTTCTTTGCAGAAGATGTTCTGAAAAACAGAGTTTTTCTCCAACTTGCTTCGTTACAAAAGATGTAGAAATGAAGCTCTTGAAGATTGAATAACGGGAGGAACTTTGCTCTTGGTTGGGTTTGAGAGATTTGAATATTTAATCTTCCCAACGTAAGCTTTTTCTTGTAGAAGGATTTGAAGATTGAATCTCAAGAGAGCTTGTAGAAAGTTTGAAGAGAGCAAAAAAATGTCCGGTTGTTCTTCATGAGTATCCTTTTATACTGGGAGTTGTCTACCCGTTGGAGGGGAGACAACTGCATTGAATGCGCATACTGTGGAGTTGACCGGTTGGACCCGCAGTTTTGGCAGGTTTCTATTTTTGTATAATATTCTCTAGGAATCTCGGTCAATCATCTGCAATTACTCCACAGCGTATCAGGCTCATTAAATGAGCATTAAATGTTTTCCTTAGATGAAATATCTTCTAGCCGTTAGGGAATTTCCCGTTTGTTATACGGCCGTTGAAAGCAGCTTCGAAATCTTTCTAAGTGTAATCCGGAGTCTGATGAGCTTCTCTGATGGCATTCTGATCTTGGATTCTGATCAACTTAGATGAGGAACTCTGATACTTCTCTGAAGTTGACTTCTGATGAATCTTTACTTCGAACTCTGATGGTTCTCTGATGAGCAGCTCTGATGCTTCTCTAAAAAGCAACTCTCATGGAGCAGTTCTCCTAGCAGTTCTCATAGAGCAGCTCTGATCAGGTCCACATAGAGCAACTCTGACTGTCGACTATACTAATACTTACAACTGAAAAATTCTAACACATAAAATCCAAATGGGGTATTCTAAAATTCTAGTCTAAATAGCCTAGCATCATCAAAACTCTGGAGCTGGATCCTTCTGCAGCTCTGATAGCTCTAGCAGGTTCTCTGATATCTTCCCCCTTTTTGGCATCAGCAAGATCACTAAGTAGGAGTCCAATCTTCGAGAATTCGGATGCTTGATTTTCTTTGATCGCTTCAAGAGCTCCAGGGAGAGTCTGAGTGACAGAGGCCAGCCCTTCTACCAGCTCCTTTTGCTTATCCACAGCAGATTGGATATCCTTGGTAGTAGCTTCAAGTAGAGTCAGCTTATGATCTCTGTCTTTTCCACTATTTATCAGTTTCAGAGCAAACTCTTTGTTATCCTTGCAGAGACCCTCCACATCAGTCAACTGCTCTGCATTCTTGTCATGAGACCATTGAAGATCATCTACAGCATCAGATAGCTCTTGAATGGCCTTATCTTGAGCAGTGAGGGTCTGGGATTGTAAGAATAAGACAGTGTGAATGCTGGCAACTTCTGTAGCAATGTTGTCTACCTTCTCATTGGAAGTCTTCATGTAGCTTAGAAAGGTATTTGCCAAAGTAGAGAGAGTGGTTGAGATTTTGGCAAGTTCTGACTCAATGTTGTACTGAACCAAATCAAGGTGAGCATCATGCTTCTGATTCAGTACAAGCATTTTGTTCAGTCCAGCAACCACTTGATCTCCAAACTCTTCTGCTGATTCCACAAACTCATTGAAGGGGATGAGGACTTCTTCTCTTGGAGGATCTGGCAAAGGCATATCACTTCTTGGAGGTTGCTGAGGAATGGGAGATGGTGAAGGGGAGGGTGTCTTCCTCTTGTGGGATTGAAGATCACCGGCTAATGAAGATGTGAGAAAACCATCATTGTCCTCAGAGGAGGAGAGAATCCTCACAACAGGTTCTCTCTTTTGTGCAGAGGCAGCAGAGTGCTGAGGAGAAGGGGGTTGTGTAGTGGACTTCTGCTTTGGAGATGCAGACTTGGATTTCTGAGCAGGGGAACTCTGATGGAGTGAGGTTTGTGGAGCAGGGGTTTTCTGCTGTTTGGGAGATGGAGGAGGGGATGGTGATCGGTTTCTGATAGGAGTTAATTGATGACATGGTGAAGCAGGTTTGGAGGGTGGTTGTTTTGGTGAAGGGGTTTTCTTGGGTGAGGGAGTTGGTGACTGTGATGGAGGTTGGGGGCTCTCTGGTGGAGTTGAGGGTGGTGTGGATGGTTTGGGTGAGGATGATTGTGGGGGTGAAGGCGATGGTTGATCAGCAGATTGTAGAGTAGGAAAGTTAGGAGTTACCTCTATTGATTCTTCTTCAATTTGAGAGTCTCTCCATTCTCTAATCAGGTTTTGTAATGCCAAGGGCAGATCGTTGGCAGAAGATGGTTCACCATGGAAGTGAGGAAGATAGGGATACTTCCTCATAGATTCCCTCTTCTTCATCTTCACCAGCCACTCTTCAAAGGCTGGAGCCTCGTTCTCTGATAGAGGTTTGACATGCTCTTCTGATGGTGGAGCATTCAACTTCTCCTTCCCTTTGAGGCTTCCCTTCTTCTTTTCCAATACAGAGTTAAGGAATTGAAGGTCAAAGCAAAGGGAGACATCATATGTACCTGCCCATTTGAGGACTTCTTCTTCCTCAGATTCAAACTGGGCAGCTTGAGCAAGTATCTGCTGTAGTAGTCCCATTCTCCACTTCCTCCAAGCGAGTACCCTTTGATATTGTTTCTCAAGGGCAGTGATAGGATCTACCTCATGAACTCCAGTTGATGTGGCTAGGTGCTCTGGTGGAGAGATAGTGACTTGCAGTGCTGGTGCAGAGAGGGGTTGGACCTCTGATGCAGGTTCCCCCTGAGTATCAGAGATCTGTAACGTGGATCCTTCTTGTGCACCAGCCAACTCTGATGCTGGTTCCCCCTGAGGTTCTGATTCCTTGGGAGGAGAGTTGGCCTTCTTCTTCTTCTTCTGTTTCCTGATAGGAGAAGTAGATGTATCAGAATCACTCTGAATGATTGCTCTTCTTCTCCTCTTCATCCTTT